TAAAAATCATAATAAAGTGGGTCTTTGGCCCCTTAAACTTGAACTAAAATGCAAAGATCACTCTCTAACACTCCTCCAATTCTAACCCTACCTCTTCTACTCTCTATTTTTTTTGTTTAACTTGCCCACCCCCTCCCCCCTAAAAAAACAAAGATGTCAATTAGTGAATTTTACTGGGCAAAAGTGTATTCTGTCAATCAAAAGCCCACTAAAATATATACAATATATAATTATTTTTCTTTTTTACTAATCACCAGTTGAGTGGTACGAAGAAATGGAGAGAAAAAAATAGGTGGAATTAATAAGTTTTGAATGGTGTGTGAGGGTGATATGATGTGAGGCCCACAATTCTATGTTCTGATAGTTGAAACGAAGACTTAATAAGTTTTGGATGGTGTGTCATGGTGATGTGAGGCCCACAATTCTATGTTGTTTTAGTTGAAAGAAAGACCCACATGAAATGGCATAACGTTCCAAATTCTGATTTACAATGTATTTGCAATTTCAAAGAACAATAAATATAAAATTTAATATTTGTACAAGCTGTTTCACCAAAAGTCAATGGCATAAGGTATGGAGCTTAGAATAGCAAAAGTTGTTTCACCAAATAAAAGAATGGAAAAACTTAGAGATATAAATGGAAACAAGGAAAATCATGAGGTGCTGAATATCAAAGGAGACAATATATACTTTGTATAGATATAAATATAACAGTTGTCCGTCCTTTCAAACATTTACTTTGCATGTATTTTGGTAGGGTTTTGGAACAAAGAAATAAAAAATAAAAGCACCCCCCATTTATTTGAATCCTGGATAGAAAATGACTGTGAAGCCACCTGCACTTGCGGCTTTCCTTTTGAAATCATCACCGTACGTACAGGTTGTTTGGTGCAACTTCTGAGTCCGATTTGCCTTAGAGGCCCATTTGCCTTCTCCTACACTGGGAGATGTATTAAAACTTTTGTGGGAATCATTTGAAATCCTACCAATTGCAAATTGCATATATTCCCTCAATCGAAATAAAAAAAAAAAAAATAATAGACTTGAAACTGATCTTATCCTCTATAGTCTATAGGTTCCAAGTTATCGCTATTTGAGTTAATTTCTTTGTGGATGTAATGTGTCATTGTATTCGGACATATTTTAGAATTAATAAATATGTACATGCATTTGTACCTGACAGTATATAACAAAACTATTTATAATTTATGAGCAGTTTTTAAATAGTTATAAGTGAGTAGTTTTTTAAGTGGACAGTTTTTTGAGTGAGAGTAAAAGACATATATGCCCTTTTGTATGCCCGTTGTATGTTGCTTAGATAAGGGGTTTAAATGTTTAATGAAAAGTCCAAAAAATGAGACTATTCGCTCTTTTATTAATAGTATAGATATGAGAATCAGTTCAAATTAATACATCACTGAAGCTGTATTTAGACTTTGGAATACATAATGGCATCACTAATGTATATGATCCCTTTTGCGATTTATAAGGCCTTCATGATGTGTTCATGGATGAAGACTTCTTGATTAATTTTTTATATATTTTTTTTGGTTCTATATGTATTAGAAAAATTCATTCAACATTTATATATATTTTGTGTAAATGTACTTTTAAATTTAAATATATGGATTCTATTTGAAATACATATAAATTTGGAATTTTATTTAAAATTTATTTACAAATATAATTTTAGTGAAAATAAAATATACATATAGGAGAAATAAAAATCATAGGATATATCAAATAAATGCCAATATATATTCAATTTGTCAGTACTATAGTGGCGTTTATAAAACAACACCACAGATATATCAAGTAAGATGACTATAGTGGCATGCATAAATGCCGTTATGTGTAATTCAATAGCGGCGTTTATATAATGCTACCGTAGGTATTATATTTATAGCGGTGTCTGTAATTGTCACAAAAGACATATGGAAATTAATATTTTTAAATTTATAGTGGCATATCTATCTATATATATATATATATATTCTGCTATTGACTAATTAAATGCCACTATTGAATTGTTAATAGTGGCATTTAATTATATGCGGCTAAAGCCTATACCGACATAGTTTGTAGCGGCATAAGATAATACGTCACAAAAATGCCACCATAGATATACGGTGGTGTATAAACAAATTTATAAGGGTGATAAAAATGCTTCTATAAGTGTTTTTTGTTGTGCTAACCAATCAGATGGTATTTATCAAAATTCACCGGTAGGTTTTGATTGGTTAAAACTCTTTCAATACGTATCATATCTTTTTGGTATCATAGATTTGCCCATAAAAAAAATCTCATACTTGTATGTTATTATTAGCGAGAGATGTTTTTGATGCACACATGCAGTGTTTGGTATGTTATATTAGCGAGAGATGTTTTTGATGCACACATGCAGTTTTTGTGGGTACGTAGTTGGGGTTGTCAATAGACTTCGAAGCTCTAATTACTAAAATTTCCAAGTTACTTCCATCCATGATAGGATTGGCTCCATCCGATCTGATAAAGAATTTGATTTTGATTATTTGTATAATATAATAGTTATATATATATAATATTTTATTTATATATTATATATATATATATATATTAAAAATAATTAATTTTGTGTATTTTTCCTTAATTTAATGGCAATAGAGGGAAGAGCCGGATTAAATCCAAAATATCATACACCCATCACATTTGGATTTGAAATTTCAGTAATAAATTGGATTCATCTGTATGAATCTGATCCAATCATAGCCCTATGGCCTATGGGTAGCGTCTTGTGGGTAGTAGATCTAAGCTCAACCTTAAGGCTGTTGGTAAGATATATAGTAAAAGAAATATTTACAACTGTCCCATTTACCAAGAAAACTCAAGAAAGTTAAGACTATATTTAGTTTGAAGGAAAATGCAGGAAATTGAAAGGAAGGAAACGGTAGAGAAATTGAAATGTAAAAATGACATTCTCTATTTTGCATCATTATCAACCTAATAAAAAAATAATTTTGTCATTAATTTGCACAGTATTATTCTTGTTATGTTATGGACGGCACGGCAAGGTTGTTTTGGGGAATCTATTTGTTGATGGGGATATATATACTCTCTTAGTGGCTTAATTACGCCTTCGACTTCTCTGATTCTTATCTCCTTTTTATTCCTTTGTGGATATAAGATTACATCAGTCTCTAGACATGTACAGTACGTAGTAGGTAGGTCTCAAGCCAATTGGATAATGCTTCACATCCACCAACACCACCCTGTCCTTCGTCTTCTTCTTTAATTTTCTCTCTCTTGTTTAATTCCACGCAACTGTTCTAAGTACTTATCCTATGTCCATGTGTCAATTCATAGTGTGCTATAACGGAGACATAAAACAGAAGACCAAGATCTTTGATTTATTGCTGTGGCCCTACTAAGATGTCAAGTTGATGGGGCCACATTATTAATAAATCAAAAGCTTTGAATATGTACATTGTTTCATCACGTAAAGCGCTACAGATGGTGTCCTAGCAAATGTTGTTTCAGCAATAGCTCTACACTCTGAATGAAAACTTGGACCTCACGTGCATCCTCCCTGTCCCCAATCCCCACCGGCCCCTTAATAATGGCTTAATCCCCATGTTTATGCCTAATATTTGCATTTTCTGCTTCATGAACTACAGAGTACTGTTATTAGTTGAGTCCGGATCACCTGTCAATAATATACATTTCAACAACCTCTCAACTTGATTTAATATCACACATCTCATACATGATACATCTCAATCTCATGGTAACATCTAATAGGGGGTTAGAACGTGTTTTATTGGTCAACTTTTATTAGATAGGCATAGGCTACGCCTAAAGAGCACAGGTATATTATGTGAGCATGTAGGGTCATTCATATATCTTGTGTGCTGAAATTTAATTCAGCACAATAAGGGGACAAGATTGGACCATATCAAGGTGAGGGCCCCCAACACCTCATAAATACAGTACGTGGATATATTGATTATCATCATATGATAAGTTAGGCTGAGTTTGGAAGGAGTGCAAATATAAATCTGTAGAGTACAAAACCTAGTATTTTGTATGTATTTGTATTATATATATATATATATATTTGTACTTTTTTTAAATTGAGCCTTTGATATACAATAGGATATATAAAAGATTACGCACAAGGGGGTAAAATGGTGATTTTAGTTTCACTTTAGTGACGAAAAAACAGAAAAGAACAAAAAATGAAAAAAAAGTTTATTTATACTAGGATTTCAATTTTAAGTTTTTAACTAATGATTTTGAGAGGTTTCAATTTTAAGTTCATCATCACAGCTCAGTTTGGAAAGAGTATAAATACAAATATATACAATACAAATTTGCATTGTACACATATACTTGTATTTGCACTTACATGCATATTTGTGTTTATATTCTTTCTAAATTGAGCCTAATTCTCGGTTTGGAAAGAGTATAAATAGAATTATACAAAATAACAAAAATACAAGGTTTTGCACTCTACATACATTTTTGTATTTATACTCTTTTCAAATTGAGTCTAAATGTTTATGTCCAATTAATGAACTTGATATACAAATTTCTCAGAATAATTAATATCCATTTGGATTGGATAAAATATCTCATCTGAGTGGGATAGTGTTGATCCAAACATTTAGCCTATGTTTGGTTGCAATGTAAATAAATGTGCACTGATGCAAAATTATGGCAGTGCAGATGATTTAAGTGTAAACTCTGACTGATATTTGTTTCAAATTTTATGTACAAATGAAGTAAATTGAGACACGAACAATACAAGAAAAACGTTCTAAAGACCGCTACTATATTGAGAAATAAGGCGGCGGCCCTTTTAAGACAGCCAAATAAACCGAATTTGGGATTTGGCGCGGCGGTTTTTTCGAATTGGCACGACGGTTAAAGCTTTAAACCGGATTTGAACCGATTTAAATTGATTAACAAGCTGGTGGAATATATAATGAGAGAGAGAGAGAAAGGGAAAACACTGGAAAGCCAAAAAATACTCCTAAACCTCCCTCGTTTCGACAATACAACAGGAACTTTGACGGAAAACACTTCCTTTCTCGCAAAACATGACGAAGACATAAGGTTGGCAGAGATTGGGAGATCTCCAAGAGAAGAAGACATAATAGAGATTGAGACGGGAACACCAACATTGTGTGACTCTGAAAAGCTTGAGAAGAAGGCATACCACAGATTTGTAGATCTCCACGAAGATAATAACCCTTTGATTATTTTAGGGATCGATAGTGGGTTAGGGTTTTTCTCCCAATCAAACAAAGGGTGAAATATAGCTTTGGATAGGAGGTCGAAGGTAAAAGGGATTCTAAATAGGAGGCCGAAGGGTTATGGATGTAGATGCTACTTTATATTTATTTATTTTTTCATTCTTTTAAATGGAGATTAGAAAATATGTGCGAAAAACCTTTTGATATCCTATTTTTTTTCTTTTTTTTTCAATCTTTTTCATTCTCTATTTTTTTCTTCCTTTTCCATAAGAAATTGATTAGGGCATACTTTGATTATTTCAGAAGATGTTTCTCGTTTGGACGATGGTGATGAAACCAAGCTTCGGATTTTAGGGAACACTACTGCTATTGGTGATGAAAGTAGCAATGGTACTTTCTTCAGGGTTGTTCTGTTAGTTCGTTGAAGAAAGGTAATCATTTATCTTATAACTTTTGATGAGATGTTTACAGCATTTATTCATTGTTTCTTTGCTTTCTTATTCCAGTATGATGAAGCAAGGGAGTTTGTAGAGAGAGCTAGAAAGTGTTTGGCAACAAAGCTCGCTGCACTGGTGAGCAAATTGATCCTCGCTATATTTACTTTCTTCAACATTTTGAAAATCCCTCCTAATTGCACTTTTCAGTCATTTAGTTTATTAGAATAGAAGCTTCCTTGCAATTTTTTTTTTTTCTGGTCAATGCAAATCTATTTTATATTTTACCATTCACTATCTCCAAGGCACCTTTATCTAATGGGTAAAAATTGAGTAGAAAATGTGCGCTACTCAACTATTATTATCACATCTCACCCAATTGCACGATAAAGTTTAGGAAAAACTTATATTGAAACTCAACACTTTTAGTTTGTATAGTGCATTACTGTACAGCTCCCCACATTAGTAGTATGACTAAAGGTTTGCAGGAACATCCTACATATGATTATACTATAGTTAATTTAATTCTTCTATTTAATGGAAGTGAAAAGTTGGTTGGTCAACTGCTTTCGTGTTCTTCTCCAAATTTCTTTTCTTTTCTTTTTTTCTTTCTTTCTTTTAATTGTTTTGCATTTTATTTTGGCCAATAATGTGAGAGGGTTTATTGGCTCATTAAAAGGGTTATGATGCAACTTTTAGACATTTTCATAAATGAATATGGTATATTCTCATACAACACAAAATTTATCTTGGGAACCGAAAATTACTTTGTCTTTTAGCAAATAAGTTTTCAAGGAGGTTGTGGGCTCCTTACTGGTTGAAGCTGAGGTTGAAAATTTTATTATTTAATTATTTTAATGACTAGATGGCAGGGTAATAAAATTTTCAGTTCAGCAAATTCAGCTGTTATCAAATGGCACCTTAGGTGTTTATGGTGGTTTTGTAGCTCTTGAGTTAATGGGGCTCTAAATTCTTTCCATACCTGTATTTTTATATAGAAATTTGAGTGGTTAATTTTATTCATTTAGCCCAAATCTTGGATTTAGAAGCCCAATTGTTTGTTTGTTTGTTTGTTTTTTTTTTGTTAATTTTATGAGTATCTCTTAATCTCCTATGATCCTTTCATGTTGGGGGTCCATCTCTCAATCCACCTTAATGATTGTTGAGCTATTTGGAAATTGATTTTGTCCCCCATAAACATCCAACAATTAGTTATTACTCTAATTATTTTATTCTACTTTTAATTCAGCAGAGGTGGTTAAAGTGATCATATGTCAGCGTGTTTATATATGATGAGGTTGTTTGAATTATGTGACTTTTTGTCTGGGCTCAAAAGAATAATAAACCTAAACAGATATCACAAATGTTTTCTTTAAGACAGAATCTCTTGGATGAAGGGGTTTAATGCATGATTCAACCTCTCACCTCTACACTTGGAATGGCTGAGATATCAGAAAGCCCATTAACTTCATTCACATAGCCTGAGATCATAAAGATCCAGTAACCCAAAATGCCAATCTGTCTAAATTGTTGAGCATGCAGTGACTGAGCACCAGTGGTCTCATCAGATGGGCATGACCATCCAAGTGGAGCTCCATTGATAAGATGGTAGACAAATAGATAATGAGATGACAATGTGTGTACGGGTCAAAGCTCTGTGCCCTTTCTCTCATGAAAGGGGCACATTTGAGCTACCCTTTTACCTAGCTAGAGTTCTATGCCCGCACAAAGCTGAGCTAGGGAAAACCTAACTGATTTATGGAGTGGACAAATACCAAAGCCACCCAAGCTGATTACTAGTTCAATTGGAAGTTGGGGGACTGAGGATAAGTCAATCCAATTTTGGTGGAAGCAAAGAAAAGGTCTGGGCATGGGACCCTTCAATGTGGTTTAGAAATTGATTCATCCATGAGGGTTGCTGGTTGAATGCAATTGGACCATGAATCTGTACACTACATATTGATCATTTGATGCAACTCAAAGCCACAAATCCTCATTTAAAAGTTTAAGCCTGTCTTGAACTCTGTAAGTCCATTATTTCCACATCAGCTTGTTCTCTTTTGGTTCTCAACCCCTTGAGAATTTTGTGGCTTTTTATTTTAAAAAATAAAGAAAATCTGAAAGGGTTACTTAATAAGGTGTGATTCAATTCAGATCTCCTACCCATAGGATACTACAGCTGTATGTTGGGAACATCTCCTCGTGAATATTAGCATATAGATATGTGTGGTGTTATCAATGTGCAGCTATAGTAATGTGTGGGTAGGTGTGGATAGTACCCTTGTGGGTAGGAAATCCCAAGTGGGTATGATTGATCTGGACTGCCACAATTTTCAATGTTTGAATATCCAACCGTTTCACTAATTGGTTCAGCCTCATCTACTTTCTCTTTAATTTTACTCACTTATTTAGTTGGTTTCATTAGAAGATGCTTGGCAGACTCAAGAGTGCATTTGCCTCTAAAGCAAAAAGATTTTTTTCCTTCACATTTGCACTTGTGTAGAAAATAGTTCTTTGCCATCTATCGATTGAGAATCTGTCCAATTGGAGCATCTCTTGTTGTAATATCATTAGGAAATGAAATTCATGTATTGTCGCATGCATTGATTTTCTTTCTTTTTTCCCCTTTATTATAGTCTTTCCTCATGTCGCTAGCACAAAGCTAAAAGAAAGGTTATGTTGGTTCTTTTGTTTAATGGTTCATTTTCCCCCACTATATTATAAAATGACTTGATTTCTGCATCTTTATCTCTTGATTGAACATGTATACCAGGTCTGTCTGTCTAAAGGTTTGGGTGCACCAATTGATGTCCAAAGAGCTTTGTTTCTAAGGTATTGGTGAACTACTTGCAATAACAGTAGTGCCTTTCCTTTGTAGAAATGGATACTCATGCTACATCTCCTTTTCAGGCTAAGAGGCTCAGGGAAAACCCTTGGTGGTGGAATGAGGCAAATAGACATCCTGTGTGCTGCTGCATATGTTGCATTGCATGAGAATGTTGGTAAACTTGAGGGTGATCACAAGAAAGCAAAAAGTTTAGCAGGTATTTTCTATTTTAACATGAGAATGTTAGTAAACTTGGTTGCATTTTCTAGTTTTATGGAGACGGGTTCTCAATTGTGTATAATGTGATTTAAAACCTCAGCACCAAGGTTATTCAAATGTCTTATATGTCTGTGTCAAACTTCTACTCATTCAGAGACAAGTTAATGTATTGATCTAGACAAATCCCAGTTGTCCATATGTTTGTTTCCATAATCCATATGTTATTTAATATAAATCTGTTTAATTCCACGTATCTGATTATCTGAGTTCTTTCTATACTGTATAATGACATAAAAGGCATTATACAAATAGATTTGATGTATGAAATAAACAGTGCAACATTATTTTCTGCAGAAGGACTGAATCAAATCAAGGAACTAAGAGTGGATGTATCTTCAGTAGAAACAAATATTGTGAGTATCACTAGTGCAACATTGGTCTTGCTTTTCAATTCTACTTATGGTTGCTATGCTGGCAACAGAATGAATTTTCATTCAATATCAAAGAAACCATGTTGTCCAAGAATGGTCAGCAAGGGCATTACAAGACAGCTACAACATAGCTGTTTTAGTCCTCAATTTTTACCCTGACCAAACAATTAGAAACTGAAATAAGAAAATGAACAAGAAGTACAAAATTAAGAATAACAAATGGGTTCATGAACTTTATAAACAAAGTTATGATTTTGAAAACAATTATGAGCATACCAAATAAATGCTTATGGAGTGGACAAATACCAAAGCCATGCATCCAAGCTGATTACTAGATTTCAAGTGCTTATAAATATTTTGATTTTTAATTAAGTCAGTTTTATAGAACATTAGATAATTCTTTTTGTTTACAGGCTGTCAATGTTAATCACCACAAAGTTGGGGAAGCAGATGAACCAGCAATGTACAAGATCAATGATGACTTGGTAACTGCCACCCACCTGATCCTCTAAATGAAAAGGGGAAAAGAAAAGGCAAAATCTCTAGGCAGCATGTTGTTGCTTTTGTTTACTGCTTTAATCTGGTTGAATGAATACTCCATTGAGATCTACGAGTGGTCTGGAACTAGCTGGGAACCATTGTTGCTGATGATGTCCAAGTGCAGTTCTACATGATGAGCCCCCATGTGATGAAAACGTTATAGCTGGGAACCATTGTTGGAAGTTGGATCTATTTTTTAATTCCTTGTACTTTTAAACATCAATTGGATATTGTATTTAAACAATTTGTTTTGGATATTATAATAATAAATAATTCAATTAATAGATTTTTGTTTTAATTGCATTTTTTATTTATTTATTTTTATGTATCAAAGTATCAATTGTCATGAGATTTGCATTAAACAGGTATTAAATTGAGATTTGTCATGGAATTAAGCTAATATTAAAAATTAAAAAAAAATCAAAGCTGGCGGTCATCCAACTGTCGGCTTAGCCATAAGTGAGTTGTAAGGCGGCGATCAAATAGAAACTAAGCTGGCGGTTTAGACCGCCACCTTAAAAGGAAGGTAGAATTTTGATTGACCTAAGCCGGCGGTCAAAATCGCCACCTTTGTTAATGCTAAGCCGGCGGTCAAAACCGCCACCTTTATTAATGCTAAGCTGGCGGTTCTGACGTAGAGTTAATTGAACCGTTTTGAACCGGCCTTCAAGGGTGGCGATCTTTTTTGTTTAACCCGGCGGTCTTGACCTAAGCCGACAGAAGTTTAGGGGCGGACTGAAGACCGTCGCCCTAGATCAAAGTTGGCGGTCTTAAGACTTAAGCCGGCGGCTTAGACCAATTTTCATATAGTGGGAACAGAATAAAGTAAAACACAAAACAAAATTTACATTTTTTTCATTTACACTTTCATGCATTTGTACTAGTACAAATAAAATTGCACTATAACCAAACACAGTCTATGACTCGATTTAAAAGAAATATAAATACATACAAAATATAAGATTTTACAGTCGTACATAGACTCTAAACCGAGCCCTATGAATTACGGGTAAAGAGCTAGGTTGATGTCATGATGGAACGAAATGATAGAACTAGCGTAACTGGAAGTCTGCAACAAGATTAAATCAGGCAAAGAGTTATTAACTTGGCAACATTAGTTCATCATTTTTTAATTGAATATTATTTCTATCAAGAACAATGTTGTTGTACTTGTCATGGTTTTCAAAACCGGACTGGACCAGAAAAATCAGGAACTGGTCAGGTGACTAGTTTCGTTTTAACCAAAATCGGGATTTCTTAAAAAACGGTTGATTTTGGTAGGCAAACCGCTGACCTGGACAGTTAACCATTCGAACCGTTCAAACAGTTTTGACCGCTTTTTATTTTTTTTTATTTTTTTATTCTTTTTGTCAAAATGAGCCAATCGTTCAATTCAAACAATCGGACCATTCGACCTGATAACCAGACCCATACCAGTTCAATCTCTGGATCGCTTTTAAAAACCATGGTACTTGCACAGAGTTATTAACACTATTCACCTTTGTTTGATATCGGGCTTCCGTGTTGTGTATTACATGGAGGTAGATGTGAATATTTCTTCCTACTTAAAAATTAAAACCAGGAATACTGGTCCTTGTTCAATCAGCTGGCCGGTCCCCTTGACATGATTCAATTAATCTTGATGTTGATATTAATGAAGTTTATCAATTGGGTTTCATAATATATCTCTCTTTTTTAAGTTCTAATTAATTAATTTGCACCTAGGGATGAGCATATATTGGTTCATTTTGATTTTATGGCAGAACCTGTAATCTATCCAGTAGGGGTCAGTTTCAGGTTTTTAAAACCAGAATTTATTTTGTAAAAGTCAGTTTCAAGGTCGGTTTTAGGGTCTATTCATGAAACCTGTTCTTTCATATGTAAATTATTATAATATATTAATATATGGTTTAAAATTTATCGTTATAATTTAAGTTTTGTAAACATTACCTTTTACATTATTTATTATATATACACATCCAAATATTAAAATGAAAATAGATTATCAATCACTAGAGCAACTCAATTGTCAAGTGAGACTATAGCTTTTATAACTATGAGTGCTTGGGTTCAAATTTTCACATTTTTTAAAAATATTGTGGGGTTTATTTCAAGACAAGTTCGGTTCCAAGGCCGATTCCACCAAGGCCACTAAGGCTGGTTTAGGTAGGATAAACCCTAGACCTTGGAACCACTCTGGATGGGAATCAGTTCCAAAAATTTGGAACTAGACCCTACCCAATAAGAAACTAGGTAAAACCTATCCATTTGCTCACCTCTGTTTTCACCCAACATAGAGAATGTAAATGGCTCTTACTCAAATGTCGTAAATGATATATTGTATATTAATGAAATAATTTAAAAAATAGGAGGAGCTTTCATGTAGATAAAGGTATCAATGGACCAGTTTTGGATTAGACTGTCTAGTCCAAAATCAATTTAGATGGATTGGATGGACCAACAAGACATTGAATTGGACCCAGTCCAAAATATTTATTAGATTGGATTGGACTAGGTCTATCTGTAATAAATTTATATTAGATTGAGCTGAATTAAGTCAATATCTGGTCTATTAATATAAGATAAGAATATAGGTATCAATAGACAAAATTTAGGTTAAAGTCAATTTAAATTAAAATAAATTTGAACAGATTTGATGGTCTAAACATTGAATTGGACCGATGCAAAATGATTATTGGATTCGATTGTACCTGATCCATTTGTAATGGACTTGGACGTACAATTGACACCTGTACACGTAGACAATGCTCTTATTGTAGGATAAAAACTGAATTGATTCAAGTATTGGATCCTTTCCAAGTGATCCACGTTAAGATAAAAGCAGCATTGCCATTCGACACGTTAGAGGATTGAGGAACGACAAAAGGTGACGAGGATGATGAATTCCGCACTCAACGTGAAACAACTTCGTTATTTAGGGCATGGCATTTTGTGCCGATTAGTCTTTTCAACTTCAACCATGCATACATCTGATGACAAAATGAAACAAGAGATAGTTGCTAAATGGTGGTCTTGCTTGTTAATTGGCTTACAGCTTATTGTTACCGAGATGGGTTTTAAATTTGGTGCCCATAGTCCACCCACTCCCCCCAAAGCAATCATGTCTTCATTCCAAGCCCAGATACTTAGTTGTGCACTTGGGAGCTAGTGGGGTGGATCTGAAAGCATGAAATTAAGCATATATCCACAAAGATGTTACAACAGAAAAGACCATGAAAGCCACTAGAAATATCATCGTTCAAGCCTTATCCCAATTATATTAATTGGAGTTATCTACATAAATTATGTTCCTGTTCAATTCCAATAAAAATATGCGATTGACAAATATATTAGGATATTTAAACATTTGAGTTAAATTTTGATGAAAACTCACCTGATTAATGATGTTGATTTATTAGTGATCACTTACTTTAATGATTGATGTTGGTTGATTAGTCGCAAGTTTTTCTGGTATCATGTGTTTTCGCTCAACTTGAATTTGATTGGGATGGTAGAATTTTTATAATTGATATTTCTTGATATCTAAGGTCAAGTGATTTTTGACTCTGAATCAAAATAAAATACCAAAGATACATTCACCTATGAGAGGGAGGAAGGCGACGCAACATTATATAAATGCAACTGGAAATGGAATTCAGAGTGCTTCTTCCAACCACATAAAGTGACAATTGATAGTGCCATTGTAGTCGTTGTTATTGTGCTGAGAGTAATTAGAAGGGTTCTGGAGGTCCCAGTTTGGTTGTGAGAATTTGAATTTCGCGATTGACCCACGTTTGCTGCAACAAAAGTGATATCTATAGGAAGATCTTAGTTGTTTTAGAGTGGATTCCATGATTTAAGAGCTAATTTTGTGCATTTTTTATCACAGACAAGGCGTTGAAGGCTTAGTTTAGAAGGAGTACAAATACAAATATATAGAGAGGGTATAAAACCTTGTATTTTGTATGTATTTGTACTGTATATATTTGTATTTGTATTTTTTCCAAGCTGAGCAGAAGTAATTGTAGTGATGAACCAATCTAAAGTCCTCGCAGTATTGTCAATATATGATGAGCTATGTATATTTCCTTGTAAAAAGTAGCTAAATTGTCAGCAATCTTAGGGAGTGTTCTACAACATGAATTGTTTCTCTTGTTTTCGGTTCCAAAAAACAAATCAAAATATCTTGTGTTTTTAAAACAGAAAATTGTTTCTTAAAACAAAAATACAAGAAACATGTTCTTGGTTGTGTACATTTTTTTTTGTTTTCAAAACTGAAACAAATAAACATATTCTTGAATCTAGTTTCAAAAAATTGATTTCATAGGATTATTCAACATCATGTTCTACAAATCATATATCTATACTATAATTTTTTTTTTTTTATCTTAAAACTAATATTTTGTTGATTTCAAAACATATATTGCTTTTTCAAAACAAAACCAACTTGTTTTTCACTTTGAAAATGAAAACAGAGTTATGTTTTTGTTTTTCTTTTCTGATGTGATGATACCAAAAATATTCATATTGTAGAACGCCTCCTTAATTGGCCTTTTGAAGATACTATGCTGCACTCCTGCACTTATATATCTCTTCTTGTGGAGACCTTGAGTTCAAGGTATATTTCCATAATGCACAGCCTTATAAGGTGCCTGCCTTCAAGAATTCATACAGAATTTTAGCCCGAACCCTTGGCTACGTAAGGCCCGTTCAAATTTCAACAAATGCTCAACCTAAGTCCACCCAAGGTGTACCTTATGCTGAAGTTAAAATATCATTAATCATGTGCAGGTACATGTTTGCAAATTGTGAGGTGAGAAAAGAAAAATAGGCCTTGTTTGGTTCGCAGGAATAAGGGTTTGGAATCGGAATCGGAATGGGCTATTCTGATTCTAACTGTTTGGTTGGGCAGAATAGGAATCTCATTTCCATTCCTGCTGAAATGGTATTCTCCCATTTGAGGGAATGGCCAT